TTTAATATATGTTATATATATATTTAATATATATATATATATTTAATATATATTATATATTATTTAAATTAATTCTGTCTCCTCTCTCTTCTTTATAATTTTTGCATGCCTTCTCATCCACTTCTACTGTAGCGGCAGCAGTTGCTGCTGCTGCTGTTGCTGCTGTTGCTGCTGCTGCTGCTGCTGTTTTATTTGGTTTGCTGCTTTTGCTGTTTGCTGCGGATGCAGATTGCAACAAATCAAACGACATATGAACAAATAAAAAGTTTCTTCTATGGCAGCAACCCATGGAACAGGTGCTGCTGCTGCTGCTGCTGCTGCTGTTGCTGCTGCTGCTGTTGCTGCTGCTGCTGCTGCTGTTGTTGCTGCTGCTGTTTTTGCTGCTGTTGCTGCTGCTGCTGCTGTTGCTGTTGCTGCTGCTGGTGTTGTTGCCGCTGGTGCTGTTGCTACAGCTTTTGCTGCCCCTTCTACTGTTGCTGCTATTTCTGCTGCTGCTGCTCTAATGCTGCTGCAGCGGGTGGCTGCATGTTGTATAATTTGTGCGTAGGGGTTTAGCAGGAAATATTCGTGAAGCCTGCTGTCTAGCCAGACACCCCAGACACTTCAACCCCAAGTCAGCTGCTGCTGCTGCTGCTGCTGCTGTTGCTGCTGCTGTTGCTGCTGCTGTTACTCTTGTTTCTGCTGCTGTTGCTGCTGCTGTTTCTGCTGCTGCTGCTGCTATTGATGCCGCTGCTGCTGATGATAGTGATACTGATGATGACTTTGCTGCTGCTGCTTCTGTTGCTGCTTCTGTTGTTGCTGTTGCTGCTTGTACGGCTGCTGCTTCTGTTGCTGCTGCTTCTGCGCGTGTGTGTGGTTGTCCGTTGCTGCACTATGCTCCTTCCGTGCTGCTGCTTTTCTAATTCCCCCGCTGCTGTTTCTGCTGCTGCTGCTGTTGCTGCTGCTGCTGCTGTTCCTGCTGCTGTTGCTGCTGCTGCTGCTGCTGCTGCTGCTGCAGGGCGAGCGGTTTGTGTCACTTGGAGTTGCCAGCACGTAATCCCTACTCACCTTCTCAGGGATCTTCTCTCTCAAGCAGAGGTCTGCTGTTGCTGCTGTTGCTGCTGCTGCTGCTGCTGCTGCTGCTGCTGCTGCTCCTGTTGCTGCTGTTGTTGCTCGTGCTGGTGCTGCTGCTGCTGCTGCTGCATTCTGTCGCCCTCTTGTTGCTGTTGTTGCTCGTGCTGTTGCTGCTGCTGCAGCAGAAGTAGTTGCTGCAGTTTGCTGTTGCTGCTGTGCCTCAGGCGAGGATACAGTTAGCATTGCCCTAGACGGCATCAGCGCAGCAGCACAGCAGCAGCAGCAGCAGCAGCAGCAGGAGCAGCAGCAGCAGCAGCAGCAGCAACGGCAGCATCAGCAGCAGGCGTTGCTGTTGCGGCAGCGCTCGCAGCACCGACTTCCTTACGAAGAGGGGTATCAGGAAGAAGAGCAGCAGCAGCAGCAGCAGCAAGCGGTGCTGCTGCAGCAGCAACCTCTTCATGAAGCCCCAGCACTTCCTCTTGTTCGCTCTGCGCAACCACCAGCCGTCACGAACTGCTGCGGTACGCTGCTGCTGCTGCTGCTGCTACTGCTGCTGCTACTGCTGCTGTCACTGCTGCTGCTGCTACTGCTGCTACTTGTACCGCTGCTGCTGCTATTGCTGTTGCTGCTACTGCTGCTGCTGCTGCTGCTTGCACTGCTGGTGGATGCGTCGCTACCACTGGAGTTGTTGCTGCTGCTGCTTGATTTGCTGCTGCTTCTTGATTTGCTGTTGCTGCTGCTTGATTTGCTGCTGCTGTTGCTGCTGCAGAAGCTGAGGGCGCAACACAAATTTTGTCTGCGGACCCTTCCTTTATCGATTGCATCACCGGTAGTAAGCACTCTGCTGCTGCTGCTTCTGCTGCTGCTGCTGCTGCTCTTGCTCTTGCTGCTGCTGCTGTTGCTGTTGTTGCTACTGCTGTTGCTGCTGCTGCTGCTGCTATCGGTGGTACTGCAGCTGTTTTCTTCTATTCTCCTTGTAGGTAATGGTGGTGTATCAGTGGCTGCTGTTGCTGCTGCTGCTGCTGTTGCTGCTGCTGCAGGCACTCCTTCTGTGCAGCTGCAATCTGTTCCTCTCGTGGCGTCCGAGAGACCCCACAGGCCAAAGACGCAGCAGCAGCAGCAGCAGCAGCAGCAACAGCAACAGCAGCAGCAGCAGCAGCTTGGGAAGCCGCACTTATTTAGCAGCCACAGCATCTGCAGCACCACGCAGCAGGAGGGGGAGGGAGCAGCAGCAGCAGCAGCAGCAACAGCAACAACAGCAGCAGCAGGAGAAATATGCGACCGAGCCGCTGCTGGCTTCTGTGGCGTTCGCCGCAGCAGCAGCAGCAGCAGCAGCAACAGCAGCAGCAGCAACAACAACAGCAGCAGTTGCCCTTCTTTTCTGAAGCTGCTGTGGGGACGGAGACACCCACCTGCTGCTGCTGCTGCTGCGCAGGGGCTGCTGCCGCGGCTGCCCCCTCTGAGCAGCAGCAGCAGCAGCAGCAGCAGCATTATACACTGCAGCAGCAACACCTCCCTAACTAGGGTGCCTATACACCCGAATTCTCCGCAGGAGGATCTGCAGCGGGAAGTACAGCAGCAACTGCAGCTTGAGGCACAGCAGCAGCAGCAGCAGCAACAGCAGCTGCAGCTGTTGCGGCTGCAGCAACAGCTGCAGCGGCAGCTGCACCAGCAGCAGCAGCAGCAGCAGCAGCAGCAGCGAAGAGGCATTGCTTCTTCTTCTGTTAGGGCGCTGCTGCTGAAGTGCGGTGGGATTGCCTGCGTACTGCCGGAGGAAGATGAAGAAGAAAGCTCGCAGTGCGCGCTGCAGCTGCAGCAGCTGCAGCAGCAGCTAGAGCAGCAGCAGCAGAAGCAGCAACTGCAGCACCTAGAGCAGCAGCAGCTAGAGCAGCAGCAGCAACAACAACAACAGCGAAAGCAGCGCGGGCACCACGGCCTTTGCTCACCACTTAGGGGCAGCCAGCTGAGACACGTGCGACTGCAGCAGCAGCAACAGCAGCAGCAGCAACAGCAGCAGCAGCAGCAGCAGCAGCAATGCTGGGAGTACCGTCCCCGGTCCCGCAGTGTACGAAGACTTAGCCTTACAGAGCTGCAGCGGCCGCAGCAGCAAGGGTCATTGCAGCAGCAGCAAACGGTGCAGCTGCAGCACCAGGAGCAGCAGCAGCAGCAGCAGCAGCATAAACGCAGCAGCAGCGCAACCCCACACCAAAGGCCCCCTTGCGAGCGCGCCCAAAGGGCAGCAGCAGCAGCAGCAGATACAGCAGCAAATGCAGCAGCAGCAAATGCAGTATCAGCAGCAGATGCAGCAGCAAGGGCAGCACCAGGTGCAGCAGCAGCAGCACCAGCATCAACAGCATCTGCAGCAGCAGATGCAGCAGCAGATGCAGCAGCAGATGCAGCAGCAGATGCAGCAGCAGCAGCTGCAAGGTGTCTGCCTTTCCGTCCAGTGCATCTATAGGGGATTCCTTGCAGCAGCAAAACCGAGCAAATTAATTAAAATAAATAATTTAATAAGTTAAATAAATATAACTAAATATAAATAATAAATAAATAATAAATAAATAATAAATAAATAATAAATAAATAATAAATAAAAAGACATAGATAGGGGGCAGGGCTTTGATTGCAAACAAATGCGTTCGTATAGAGAGCGCTTATAAGAGAAGACGTGCTGCTGCGTTGCTGCTGCTGCTGCTGCTGCTGCTGTGTTGCTGCTGCTGCTGTGTTGCTGCTGCTGTGTTGCTGCTGCTGCTGCTGTGTTGCTGCTGCTGCTACTCCCGCTGCAGCAGCCGGAGGCCAGAACCTTCTGCTGCAGTTGCTGCTGTTGCAGTTGCTAGTGTACTGCTGTTTTTGCTGCTGCTGCACCTGCTAATCTGCTGCTCGTTGCTGCAGCAGTTGCTAATATCTTGCTGTTGCTGCTGCTGCAGTTGTTACCCTGTTGCTGCTGTTGCTGCTGCAGCACAATCGGCTGCCGTTGCTGCAGTTTTGTCTCCGGTTCTTGCTGCTACAGTATTTGTTCTTCTTCGTGCTGCTGCTGCACCAGTTCCTCTTCTGCTGTTTGCTGCTGCTGCTGCAGCCTCTCTTGAACTGTTGCTGCTGCTGCTGTTTACACCCATACATACACCGGAAGGCTGCTGCTGCAGCTGCTGCTGCTGCATGGGTCATTAATAGACATGTTTACTGTTTAAATATATTTATTTATTGTTCGCTGCAAACGACCGGACAGCTTCTAAAGAGGAGCAGGAGCAGCAGCAGCAGCAGCAATAGCAGTAACAGCAGCAGCAAACACCGACAGACAGTTTTTCTGTTTTTGTTTCTTTAAGCAAATTAATAAAAACCATATACAAATTCAAGAGCTCTTCACGCAGCAGCAGCAGCAGCAGCAACAGCAGCAACAGCAGCAGTTGATGGATTCGTTATTTTCATACAGCACAGCAGCAACAGCAGCAGCAACAGCAGCAGCAACAGCAGCAATTGCTTCACCCAAGTGATATTAACAATATAAATTGCAGCAAAAGAAGCAGCAGAATTCTTCTTTCATTTATGCTGCTGCTGCAGATGTCTTGACTGCCCATTGGTGCCCTCCGGGGCTGCTGCTGCTGCTGCTGCTGCTGTTGCTGCTGCTGCTGCTGCACCACCGGTGCTGTGTATCTCTTTGTTGAAATTGAGTGAAATAATAATTCTTTTTTTTGTTTTTGCTGCTGCTTCGCCTTCTTGCTGCTGCAGCAGAAGCACAAAGACAAGAAGACAGAGGGTGGGGCCCTATCGACTAGCCGACTAGCCGCAGCAGCAGCAGCAGCAGCAGCAGAAGCAGCAACAGCAGCAGCAGCAGCAGCAACAGCAGCAGCAACAACAGCAGCAGCAAATGAAGCAAGAGGCAGTGAGTTAAGATCGCTGCATAAGAATGGAGCGCAGCAGCAGCAGCAGCAACAACAACAACAACAGCAGCAGCACCAGCAGCAGCAGCGACAGCAATGACAGCAACAGCAGCAACGACAATGCCATGGAGGCTTCTCAGTGCGTGAGGGAGGCTGAAGAAGCAGATGCAGCAGCAGCAGCAGCAGCAGCAGCAGAACAAGCAGCATCAGCAGCAGATCAAGCAGCAGATCAGGCAGCAGATCGGGCAGCAGCACAAGGAGATGATGCAGCAAAGCACAAAGTAGAAGACACTGGGGAAGCAGCAGCAGCTGCTGCTGCTGCACCTGAAGCAGCACCAGAGTCAGCAGCAGACACAAGTGCAGCAGCACAACCCGCTTGCGCAGCACCGCCTCCGGCAGCAGCCACAGCAGCCACAGCAGCAGCAGCAGCAACAGCAGCAGCAGCAGCAGAAACAGCAGCAGCTGCAAAGTCGTTGCATGCGGCAGCACAGGGGGAGCCTGGTTCAGATAAAGACGGAGATAACCCTGCAGCAGCAAGTACTGCTGCAGCTGCTGCTTCACCGTCTGCTGCAGACACAGCAGCAGCTGCTGCTGCTGCAGCAGCAGCAGAAGCAGCGGAAGCGGCAGAAGCAGCAGCAACAGCAGCAGCAGCAGCAGAAGATAAACCCGTAGACGAGCAGTCGGCATCAGCATCAGAAACAGCAGCAGCAACAGCAGCAGCAACGACAACAGCCGCTGCAGGTGCAGCAGCAGATGCAGCAAAAGATGCTGCGGCGGCAGCAGCAGCAGCAGCAACGGCAACAGCAGCTGCAGGTGCGGCAGCAGATGCAGCAAAAGATGCAGCAGCAGCAGATGCACCAGCAGCACCCGCATCAGCAGCTGCAGGTCCAGCAGCAGATGCAGCAAACGACGCAGCGGCAGCAGATGCAGCAGCAGCAACAACAACAGCAACAGCAGCTTCAGGTTCAGCAGCAGATGCAGCGAAAGATGCGGCGGCAGCAGATATAACAGCTGCAGCAGCAGCAGCAAAAAGCGAATCAGCAGCAGAACATCCGCAGGCAGCAGCAGACAGCGAGGAAAATGCGCAGCAGCGGCAGCAGCAGCAGCAGCAGGTGCAGCAACAGCAGCAGGAGCAAGAGCAGCAGCAGCAGCAGCAGGTGCAAGAGGAGCAGCAAGAACAGCCGCACCAGGAGCAGCAACAGCAACAGCAACAGCAGCACGAGCAGCAGCAAGAGCATCAGCAGCACGGGGAGCAGCAAGAACAGCAGCAGCAAGAGAAGCAGCAGCAGCAGCAGCGGGCTCTCTCATCTCAAAAGAGTCTCCGACTACAACGCAGCCGTTCGCGATATATGCAAACCCCGCAACATATAACACCAAAGCATTATGCTGCCAGCAGCAGCAGCAGCAGCAGCAGCAGCAGCAGCAGCAGCAGCAGCAGGAAGGAAGCAGAAGCAGAAGAAGAAGCAAAGACGAAAGACACCGAAGGCGTTGTGGAGTTCATTCAATCGGACTCAGAAAACGTACAGATCGTTGTAAGCAGCAGCAGCAGCAGCAGCAGCAAGAGCAGCAGAAGCTGCTGCAGCAGCTGCTGCAGCAGCTTCTGCTGTTGCTGCAAATAGAGTTATAAACGGTTGCGCAGTTATTTGAATAGGAGCAGCAGCAACAGCAGATGCAGAAGCAGTACTGAGCCACCTATAGTAGTAGTAGCAGCTGCAGCAGCAGCAGCAGCAGCAGCAGCAGCAGCAGCAGCAGCAGCAGCAGAAGCGCGTATGTCTGCTTGCAGAGCGGAGAGGAGGACTCGAAAGAGGAGGCCCCAAGTCCTGCTTCTGATGCTGATCCTGCTGCTGTTGCTGCTGCTGCTGATGCAGTAGCAGCAGCAGCAGCAGCAGATGCATCAGCAGCAGCAGCAGCAGATGCATCAGCAGCAGCAGCAGATGCATCAGCAGCAGCAGCAGCAGCAGACTCGGCAACCGAAGCAGAGACAGCGACAGAACCAGCAGCAGAAACCCCCCCTATACAAAGTGCGTCTTTGCTCCTGCTGTTGTTGCTGCTGCTGCTGCTTCGATTGTTACTGCTGCTGGTGCTGATGCTGCTGCTGCTGATGCTGCTGCTGCTGCTGCTGCTGCTGCTGCCAGACCTACAACTACCATTCCTACTGCTACTATTCCTATTGCTGCTGCAAAACCCCTTAGCTGCTGCTGCTCCTCTTGCTGCTGCTGCTGTTACTGCTCCTCTTGCTGCTGCTGCTCCTCTTGCTGCTGCTGCTGTTACTGCTCCTCTTGCTGCTGCTGCTGCTGCTGCTGCTGCTGCTGCTGCAGGGACTGGAGGAGACACTTTACTGGATTATTCTCATACTCGCTCGAGGCGCTGCAGCGCGGAGTCTGTAGCGACAGTCGATTGCTTCCACTTTGCTGCTTCAAAACCGGTTAGCTGCTGCTGCTGCTGCTGCTGCTGCTGCTGCTGCTGCTGCTGTTGCTGCTGCTGTTGATGTTGCTGCTACTTCTGTTCTTATTTGAGTTGGTGGTGCTGCTGTTGCTGCTTTTCTGCTGCTGTTGTTGCTGCTCCTTTCGCTGCTGCTGTTGCTGCTGGTGCTGCTGCAAGGCCGCAGCAACAGCAGCAGCAGCAGCAGCAGCAGCAGCAAATGGTTGCTGTTTGTGCTGCTTAGGCTCCGTTATCTGCTGTTGTTATTTTAAAGACAGAAATTAATTTTTGCGTCTATTGTTCGTCTCTTTCTGTTTCTTGCTGCTGGTTTTTGTTTATATATAAACATATATATATATATATATATTTATTTATTTATTTATTTATTTATTTATTTATATTTATTTATTTATATTTATTTATTTATATTTATTTATTTATTTATTTATATTTATTTATTTATATATTTATATATTTAGATTTAATTTTCTCTCTCTCCTTTCTTCTCTCTTCTGCACCAAACAAA